CTTATGGAACAATTATTTGTATGGCCGACAAATAATCCTTCCGACTCTGGATGTTTGTTCTTATGAAATTCATGAATTTAAAATGCCACCGCGATAGAAGAGGAAATTCTTGTGTTTTAAAAAACATATTATGATAACAGGTCGACTTTATGACATCCGCAACCGTGGATTCTGATAAATTTGTATCATAGTTATAGTAACTGATCTACTTGGTATCCGACTTTGAGTACCTACAACTTTTTTTTGTATTTTATCGCGTTTAGTGGAAACCATTTTTTTTTTTAATTCTGACGTTTTCAGCGCTTTGCGGCACCAATAGTCACGAAAGATTGCGTTCGATATCCTGATATCTGAATTATCTTCAAATACTATACTATTAACAGTACTCTTCTAGTACCTCCCAATATATTAAAAAAAGCAATTTCAAAGCCAATTATATTATTTGCTTGCTTAATAAAAGATACAGGGACCAACGTATAAGGATAAAACAAACGGACAAGGCAATAAGCACTTATACATAGCCGCAGTAATTTTCGCAATCGCGGGCGCACTGAATACGCAATTTCTATGTCATGGTGAGTGCAAGAGCGATGTAAAAGGATATTTGTCTTATCCACATAGATCCTAATGACAATTAAGTGGCAGAACAAGGTATTAACGTTTTAAAATAAGTTTCGGTATCACTAATTGTGACCTTAATGTGTGTGTGTTTTTTTTTATAGAATAAAGGTGACAAACGAGCACACAGTCCACCTGATGGTAAGTGATTGCTGTGGCCCAAAGAAATCTACATTTATCCTCGCTTAGGCATTAATATCCAGATGCGTTGTCACTCCAAATGACTAAAATGGAATGCCTCGTATTCAGTAAAAATGGTCTCCGGTTCTCTATACTCACCATACGAAACACAATAGCATTAAGCTGCTATTTTACGCTGGTATTGTGTGAGAACGTTGTCCTTTCCCGGTCGAGCTGACTCATTTGTACTACAAATGAAATAAATGTAGTTGCAGCATGGCTCCACCACGTTAGAATGGAACACCCACCAAGGTCATAATGTTCCTTAAGGACCACCCTGATACCTATTCCTGCCGCCAAGCAAAAGTGTCTTCACTGTTGCATTCAGGTCTAACCGGTAATGAGAGCTAGTGGCTGTGAGGCTTTCCATTTTGATCCTCGTAGGTGACATGCATCTATGACCTTCATTTTTAATGTTGTTGCTGGTGTTCTTGGACTGCGTGGACTGTAAGTTCGTTTGACACTTTAATTTAAAATTAAAAAAAACGTGTGTGTGTGTGTACTTATGTACGCACGTTATACTTCTTTAGCGTAACAAACCAAAAATAACTAAAAAGAACTACCTTAAATATAGTTATCAGTTCCCACGAAAACTTGAGAGACAGTTACCCACTGAAGTTGTCGCTTTGAGGAGTCAGTGTGCGCGCGCATCGTAAAAAATTCACTCAAATATTGTTTAAAAATTCACATAATTTTTCCCAAACACCCCAAAAAGAAGTATAACTTCGAAAATCAATAATAAGTCCTTTTGAGGATCACAATCTGCGGAAAACCTCTACACTGTAATGTTAACGCCTATAAATGTAATATACTTCGCTGGTCTCCTCCCTTGTTTAGAGGTTTTTGCACAATCAATAGCCGGATCCGGATATAGATAGCCACTTAAATTACAGGCTGTGAGCTATGGTGTTTAGTACTCAGAGGTGACAATGCATGAGAAGCAAAGAAGGTTTTAGCCTTCTTTAGGTGTTAAGAGGAAATCCGGGCGGCGTATTATAGTCCACACAAACGTATTTCACTGTGTTTCCCCATAATTTTACAATTTAAAATGCATTCTTAAGAAAATACTTTTTACAATACAGCTTATATCTACCTATGTTTTATATTTATTATGTTCCTATGTTTTATATTTTTCCATAAATTAATTCATCATCATCATTATTATTACAGTCCTTTACCAGTCCCCAGCTGAACAAAGGACTCGCCCCAATGCCACGAAGCAAGATCCTGAGCCACCTGCATCCATCGACTTCGTGCATGTCTTACAAGGTCGTCATTCCATCTAGTGGGGACGTCTTACACTTTTTTCGCCGGTACGAGGCTGCCACTCGAGAAACCCTTCTACTCCATCGGATGTCGGATCTCCATAGTCCGCTGAGCGACCTTCAGTTTCCTTATACGACCAGCAGTAAAGGACCACGTCTCAAACCCATAAGTCATCACTGGCAAAACGCACTGGTTGTACAATCTCGTTTTCAAATTTTGAGGTATACCTGACGAAGAGATGTGTCGTAATCTTCCTGCACAGCCGAGTTGAACTTGTCAATTGACATCTCGGTCGTAGTTGGACTTTCTTACTCGGACTTTTTGTCCCAGGTAAACATACTCGTCAACAACTTCGAACTTAGTGCTCCCAACAACTACCGGTACCTATAGGTGTGACATGGACGTTAGACATAACCTTTGTTTTGTCCATATTCATCTTATGACCTATCCCTTGGAAGGCACTATTAAGGTCATTGAGCATAGTGATTAAATCCTCCGGCGATTCTGCCGTAAGGATTGTATCGTCGACAAATCGAAGATGAGTGATAATACCGTACCGTCCTTTCCGGTAGGTAGGTACTAGGTAGCTTAAAACTGTCTTCCAATGCAGCAGTGAAAAGTGTCGGGGATGTAACGTCACCCTGTCTTACACCTCTTTGCAGTTGGATAGGTTTTGTACTCTGATTCTGTACTCGGATAGCCATCGTAGCCCTACTGTACAAACACTTTTCAGCACTTCGATATACCGACAGTCAACTTGGCACCGCTGAAGGGACTGCAGCATCGACGGAATCAAAGGCTTTTTATTTGTTTACATACCCTATAGAAATTGGCAGATTGTGTTCTTCGGTCTTTTTTACAATTTGGCAAAGGGCATGTAGCTATGTAGTCTATGGTGCTAAAGCCTTCTTTAGAGCACAGTGTGACAGCAATAAATCGTTGAAACCCTATTCTTAATTATTTTTTGCAGTCCTGATAATCTCTTAATTGCCATGACCTCTAAACCTCCCAGGATTATTCTTTCGGAACTGTGCCTCTTTATAATTGTTAAATATTGACTTAACTTAAAAAAAAAAACATTTTAAGTTTACAGTTCCGTGCCTCAATATCGGTTGTAGAAAAGATGAAATAAAGGACGAAGAAATAAGAGCAATTGACTCCACTACTAGTTCAACATTCACTGAAATGCCACAAAACGTAAATTATTACTACACACATTTCTCTCTTTGTCGAGTTATAGATATTTGTCTGCACTATAAACTATTAAACCACAATTATTAATTAGATCATATAGATATTGATCATTATGTATTATATTATGTTAATACGTCTTAGTCGTAAACACTGACGTAAGCTAGAAACACACGAAACTAAATTAATGTTATTAGAATCGAGCGTATCGCGACATAAGAAGCCTGTAATAGGCTTATTACGTTTATACTCGTAACTCAGCGGACATCGTCCTCGTTACTTCGGTCAAGGCTATGCTAAAATAGATCTAATTACTATGACCCCCAATTTTATAAATATCTGTTCGATTATTAGAGAAAATATTTAAATAAATGGGCCTGAGGTCGCGTAAATATCGTACAATATTAACAGGATTGTGAAGCTGTACATTTTCATACAAAAAGCGATAACGTTGTCTCAACCGTAAACACAGTCTAATTTTCATGGTGTTTGGAAATGTTGTAGATATAATGAAAAACTAGGTCCGTAAGTGTTTAAAAGTTTTTATAAGTTATTATCATCTAAATATTACCTATATCTAATATTTATGACTTAAAAACTTCCTCCGGTGTATTTTTTTTTACTTAAGCTGAACTTAAATTACTAAAAAAGAAACGTACAGACCTAGATTAAGGTGTACTGAATCTAATAAAAAAATTGTCTCATTTACTAAAGGTTTAGGGGGGTGAAAACGTTATCGCGCGAAACAATATTTCAAAAAGGATGTGTAGGCAATTGCCGCAACTCTCTCTATCACACGATACCGGCGATACGGAGCGATCGGTATGAAACAGATAGCATTTCTGGAAATACTTACTCGCGTCGCGTTTTACAATCCTCTTAAACTACTAATGTTAAAATCTCAAATTTTACGAATTAGACAGTAAGGGTCAAAGAATTTAATTATTTACAAGATTTACACGCAAATGATCTGTCGAAGTCCATTTTTTTTTTTATAAAAGATGGGGAAATCGCCCAGAAACAGGAATTGTCGGTGCGTTGCCGGCTTTATATAAAGGATAGGTATGTAGGTAGGAAAGGTAGGCTCTTTTTTTAAAGACGACTCAGTCATGTCGGTCCTGAAAAACTGCTGCCGACATTAAATTTCACAATGTGGTCATGCGTAGCAAAGATTTCCAAAAACTCAAGGTGATTCGCTTGCTTAAATATTAAAAATTTTTGGATTTCTAAGAATCACAATGATGTGGATGGTATTTAGAATTGTGTCGCAATGTACGATGCTGGAACTTGTTATTCTTAACATTATGTACAAAATTACGAGATAACTGCTTTAAAAGTATATTATTTGTTGATTCTAAAAAATATGTGTTTTACTCTTATTTATAAAGTGCATAGCACAGATTCGATATCAAAACCTTGGATATGTTTTAATTACTAACTACGAGTATATGTATATATTTTAAAAATCAAGACATTACCTATACACTTAATTCTATCATAAAGTTTTTCTATACGTTAGAAATAAGAGAAATTGTAAAAAAGTATTTACTATCCAGTAACTACTGCACGTCCATATATCCAAACATATTAACGGCTGTAAAACTAAGGAAAAATAAAAGAGCATAAATAGATGAGCGTACACATAATTTCCAATTCTTGTAAGCATTGCGTAGATATAACGAAATATTAAATGTCAGAATTAATGCAGCTAAAACTGGCATAAAACTAAAAACAAGCGCACTAACCTGGAAGTGCAGGATAATGGTCCAAATGAGACCAAGAGTCAGCTTAGGGTTGCCGTCAACGATGTCCTCAGCTCTGATGTTCACCAATTTGATCTTCTTATAGCGCAAGAAGTCCAGCGCCATCTGGACATTCTGCAGCATGTGGAAGCGCATACGACCTCTCTCGCGTGGCTGGAAAGAACAATACATAGACGTAAGTATTAACATAAAAAAAAAATTAAAGGCACTGTATATTTCTTTTAAAACATGTAGTGTAGTGGAGGCGTAAAAGGAACTACTACCTAATATCATCCGTGGGAGTCCGTCTGTGTAAGTACCATCACCTTCATACCTATTCCTGCCACCAAGTATCAGAGCTTAAACCGCTATACGAGTATTCTGGTTTAAACGAAATAGAGGTAGTCTAATCACAAGCAGAGGCCTTAGCTCTCGTATCCGAGCGTCTCGGGCGAGAAAAATTTGCGCATTCACTTAGCAAATCAGTTGCTTGACTGCAATCCTTCCTAATGGTCTACATTGATGTAACTAGATTGTAGCCCAGCTAGGATATGTTATCAGATTAATTTTTAGATCAAGGCACCGCTAGGGCTCGTGGCGCCCCTCCGACGCTGAGGCCCTAAAGCCGCCGCTGATTACAGTGACATCATTTCTTAGTCTTCAAAGGTGACATCGCATCTGTAGATTTACTGCAGGTAACCTTGTTGGTTATGTACATGTGACACAGTACAACTTAAAGACATAATTTTTGTATGTCTTTGAGTTGTACTGTGTCATTAGCCTTCACACAACTATTCAATGTGTTAGAATTTTTCAATCCTGTTAATTTGGCTTAATCTATTTTTCACTAATGATGATATTTTTCAAATTCTTTTTCAACGATCCTTTTAGTGATAATATTAAGGTTGAGGTGACAAACAACATTTTTTTAATATTAAATTTACTTTGACATATAGGAAGTCGATGGATGCAAGTGGCTCAGAACCGAGTTTTGTGGCATTCCTTGGGGGAGGCTTATGTTCAGCTGTCGATTTGTGAAGGGCTGTAATGATGATGATGATGATGATAATCAAGATGATTTGACATTTGGCTCTTGGATTTTCATACATTCTCACATTTACTTACTTCCCGAAATAAGACCACATAATCTAAATTTAGCAAGTGCTTTTTCTTTATCTAAAAAAGAAAAATACTTTCGAAGTATTTTCTGCTTTTCACTCATTTATTATCTCTTCCCGAGGTTATGTGACAAGAAAGTAATTATCTTGGATATATCGGAGGTAAATAAGCATTGCATTGACGGCTCTGAACTTTCTACTAACATAAATAAATACCCGGGACACCTCCTATCTGACTCGGTTGTTCATTAATACCGCAAGTTTTCTCTCTATTACTATATCCATTACCTGCAAATGATTGGATAGCTAAACTGTAAAAGTAAATACCCAATATATCGTGGAAAAGAAATTTTATTTCAGCATCATACTTTACTGACAAACGAGATAACAGACCACCCGATAGTTAATTGCTACTGCAGTCCATGGACATCTGCAACTTCAAACAAATAAGACCACTGAAGAGAAGTCACAAATGAGGACTAAGATGAAATGCATTACAGCCTGTAATCTACACTGGTGCTTGCAACGGAAACATGCTAGAGAGTGGCCCCTCCCAGACCGACTAACTGGCAAAACAATCCTTCCACCCACTACGATAATTAAACACCAAAACTTTAGGTATGTACCCAATCAGACCAAAGAAAACATATATTAGTTTTAATCTCCCTAATTAAGTTATGTGAAGCAGCTGCTTTTGTAATTTATTAAATCCCTTTCAGCTAAGCTATTTAATGTACTCAGATATTATATAACACACATTCTAGCTAAGCAACGCATTATTCAGTGGTCTTTTTAGAACGAGTCCGACATTCGAATCCAATGTGTCGGAAGGAGCGACTACTGAACAGCGATAGCGGTAGGTATAAGGTAAGTAATGTCTAGTTTATCATAAAATACGAGTACCTATAACAACATCAGGGAGTAGGAACAAAGTTGCGAGGTGTCTGATAATGTGACAGCCACTAAAGCTACAGAATGTGGTGGATGCGGCAGATCTTACTTAACACTTTCACTGTCCGATTTTCAGACACAAAGTAAAACAATAGCAATGAATATGTAGTACACGGGACAGCCAAAGGTTTAAGAAAAGAAATCTATGCCTAGTCTTGTACTAACACGGTCTGATAAATAAGAAGAAAAAAAGAATGGTAAATCCAGAAGGAGATAACAATTTTAGCTGCCAGTTTATGAATCCGTAAATATAAGTATTTATCACATAGGTATATTTATCATATTGGACCGATATTTGGGTAGAAGGTATTATTTGGAAGTATTTATGCAAAAAGGGTCCATACCATTAACATTGGGCCACCATTATTTTACTACGTTACCATTTCCGAATCATGTCTGAAGTTTCAAGTTTCTACTTCATCCGGAAATTAGTTTAAAAACTATTGCAGAATTTGTGCAGAACAGACAAACAAATAAAGCAGACAATAAAGTGAGTTTATATTACATTGCCGCCCTGTTTTGAGCTATGTTTAAAGTTCCAAGTCTCTAGCTCAGCGGGAAGTTAGTTTAAAATCGATGGCAAAATTTGCTCCGAACAGATAAAGAGATAAGAAAGCAGGCTAATAAAAAAGTATTATCGTCAGTGGTGTGTCTTGCCTAGTGTAGTGGTGTTGGGAGTAGCGGTGCTGGGATTAGTGGTGACGGGGATAGTGCACGCAATTGAGGGAGGGCGGGAGGTGCTCTTCATACTAGGTAAGACACATCATTTTATTTTATAACGCGGATTTTTGCGAAGAAAATTTTTCTAAAAGCTTTTATATAATAAAAAAGTGGTAAAAATAAATAGATGAAACGTAATAAAATACGTAAAACATTGTATAATAATTCAATGTTTAGTGTTCGTAAACACTGAAGAAATCGTTAATCCTTGTTGCTTCACTGATGTTGGACTCGAACATAGTATAATTTATTCAATTTAAAAGTAGACAAATACACACGCAAGAGTGCAATTATTGTATTACAAAAAACTTAACAGCAGCTTTTTAACTTATCCACGTTAAAAAACTATGAAATAAATAATCCTTCCCCAATTAATTTACTTGAAAGACCTATTTGACCCGAGGAGCGACGTAGGGGAGGGCGCGGTTACGATGTTAGCAGCTTCACTTCCGTGTACACACCTGCCCCACGTTATCAAAGGCCATCGTTTATTAGTTTGCTTTTAAAGAGCATCAGAAGTGTTTTAACGATTAAAAAACTTGCTTGCAATGTTACAAATGGAAACCGAAAACGATATAAAATGTGCCACATGTTCACATTTGGAGCATGAGTAAAATAAACAACGATAACATGGTCAACGAACCAGCCTGCCGATCCTGTTTCGAATTTTATTTGAAGCCAATATTTGTGCTAAAAACAAATTATTATTCTTTACCGATCTGTTGTGGTTGTTATTTCACATATTACACCGAATACCTGAATTTCGCATGCAAATGTATTACTAAGTTTGAAGAGCATTTAAATATTACCGAACACAAATCCAAACTAGTATTAGTAAGAAATGGAAATAGCAGAATTTTTCCTTAATAATGGATCACGTTGCTAAGTGTTTCAACCAACAAAAACGTAAAGTTATTCAGATTTAAAAAATAAATACATTTTTTCTTTTGGCAATAGCTCATATAAAATATAAAAAATGTTATGTTTATCTTTTTAAAGATAATTGAATGTAGATTTTGGGATAACTTGATATTTTTCAGAAATATCTCATACATGGTAATATATAAAAAAAAGGTCTTTGGATCATTATTTTGGCCACACAACCTACAAAGGTTGGATCATTTCGGGAGATCAGGCGCAGAACCAACGGGTTACGTTTTTCTGAGGCACGGGGGTGAAACACCACCAACTTTCTGACTCCGGGCTTTTAAAAACCCAATAACTGATATTTTTCCCGACACAGTCCTCGAAAGCAGGATTTTACGCCGCCTTTAAAAATATTAAAATTTAGCCTTGCAAAAATCGAGGGCATTACAATGTTAAGTAGGAAAGTTAATAAAACAATTTATAAACAAATCACTCAATCCAAAACAAACTCTAAAGTTCATTATTAACTTCATAAAACCTACTCGGTAATGGTTGGAGGCCGAAAGTTAAAATAGTTTAGGTAAGTATTGGATAGCTGCATTTATAGCTGCATTAACGTTCTGTAGTCACGTGATAGAGTCGTTAATGCTAATAACCCAGAAATACTCTTACCACCCAGCACACTGTCTTAACATGACACCTTTGTACTTGTTTCTGAGATTGATGTACGGTATTCAAATTATTACCCTACCATTTTGAGAGGCCTAAACAGAAAGCAAGTTACAGGTGATGGCATTACGCCACCCATCTTTTCATTAATTTAAAAATGCTGACAGACTATTCATAAAGATATATACAAGGATTATTTTTCAAAGAGTAGCCAAATTTTAAACTTAAGTTGAAATATATAAATAATGATATGACGTCACTGCAGCTTTTGAAAATACGAGTAAATAAGGCTTTTAATTTTATTTGAAATCATCCCAAATGGAATGTGATTTTTTAGCAACAACGTTTCTGCCTACCGATCGACCCTTACGTTTGTGTGCGTGCGCCGTAAAATCAGTTAGAATAATGCAATACCACGTATTTTGAATTTAGAAGATAAAAAGGACAGAATGTTAGAGATTTTTTTTTAATTAATTTTTCTTCACCATTTACTTATTTTACTTATTCTGAACCTTCTCTGCAAATTTAACCGGTTATTTCAAAATAACCCTGTATAGGTACAGTAGTTAAGTGGGTTTAAGCTTTATGTCTGATTATTATAGAGTTTTTTTTCTGGTTTTTACCTATTACCGTTACCGTTACAGCCTATCAAAAGTCCACTGCGGAACATAGGCTTTCCCATAGATTGCTTGCAAGATTGGCAGACGGATTGGCAACCGCGGTGTTTTTTATTTTTTTGTTGGTATTAGGAAGAAGCTTTTCTTTTGCCTCTTACGGCACCCACGGGACGATATTGGACAGGGGATATTCTAACACCGTCGCTACACGGTCAGTGACCGTTATGAACAAGTCTAATATAGTATACTAAAAAGTATTAATATAAATACAAAATATAAATGCAAAAGGTGGGAAAAGAATAAGGTTTTAAGATTATTTTTTAAATAAAAGAACAGAATAATATAAGAATGTCAAATCATCTAATGTTATATTTGATTTAAGAGATATATCAAAGTATACTTGGAAATGATCTATCAGAACAGGTTACCCGAGGGTGGACCAGTTATTCAGATTTATGATCCCCACAATACTAGAGCTTTATGTCTAAGATATCATAATTTATTACCAATTGAGAAATCAAGGCGCTTTATTGTAGAATATGAATTCACGCCCAGAAACAAGTAGCCATATTATATTAATGCTAGTTAAGTTTAATACTGTAAAATTTAAAAGGATTTTAATTGCTTTATCACCTCATGGTAATGTGCGAAAATTAATTAAATAAAATGAAAATAATAATTATTATTACGAATGAATTTTTATAATTTATTTATTTAAATCTTTATATTATACACACGCGGTAATAGCAGACTTAATGCCTGAAGCATCCTTTACCAGTCCACAAGTTCGGTCAATGATATTGATAATGTAGCGCTTATTTCATACTAGCTGTTCCTCGCGACTCCGCCCGCGTGTTATTTGGGGTTTTAGTTTTTTTGCGCGGAACCCTAATTCTTTTTTTCTATTTTAATTCAGCTATCTGCCAGTGAAAGTCAAAAATCGGTCCAGCCGTTTCAGAGATTAACCGTAACAAACAGACAGACAAAAATTTTAAAAATTGTGTTTTTGTTATAAGTATCATATATACTTTCATAAGCATTTAGTAAAAAGCCGTAATTTTGACGCTACAAACAGACATTTCTATTTTATTTATTTGTATAGATATGACAATCGGTAAATATAACTGAAATTAAGATCTTTAAGTTATTTTTAAAGTTATTTTTAATAGTGCTCGAGGATCGATCAAGGTTTTTTTTATTATTTGCAATGTAGAAAAAACCAAAAAACCTTGTTCGATCCTCGAGAAAAGCCCGGGAAATTTACGTAGTAGACCCCGTCATCGATCTGCATATTTTAAATTAGACATGTTAGATGATAATATGGAATTCTTTCCGCCATTTTCCATTGTCGCCTCTTAAGACGTGTCACCCGCGGGATAAAACGTAGCAATAGATTCTCTAACGGTGCCACCGCACCGCGTAAAATCCTTAAAATTAATGAAACTGTAATAAAAGTCAAGAACACTTACGAGATGTTCGCCAGAAAGCACCTCCAGCAGCGAGATAAGGTTGAGTCCGTCGCGCAGGTCTTCAAATAGATCGTTCACATGCCGATTCACCTGGAAACAAACATCAAAATTAGTATAAGCAACAATTTCAAAAATTAACGCAAACAACGACTCTATGAAGCGTGCACTGTTTTAGGCGCCAGTATAAATTAAAACAACAAAAAAAAATTAAACAACACCAACATCAATATTAAAGCCAGTATAAAAGAAACTTAGGAAGTAAATAAAAAAATAAAATCCAGTAGTCATGGGAATTGCCAATCTAACTACTATGGTAAGAAGGTACAAAAGTAAATAGTAAGTACGAATAACATAGGATATAAAATCACATACAAATCTCACACGCCAAAATACGAAGTAACTGAGAAGATTAAATAATATTACGAAAACTTATAAAACGAATTAACATCCATTTAGGAAAAAAAATTATAAGAGTTCAAAATAAACTAGTTTAAAGAAACAAACGGCATGCTTTATATCTACGTAATATTTTGCATATTCAATTTAGAATTAGTCGTTTTGTTTTTAAAAGCAACGTAAAATATGGTTATGTGTGTGTTATTAACTTAAATAAAATATTCCTCTAGTTATCACACACACATCAACATTAAAATGTCAAGTCTTATAACGTCAGAAAAAACTGATTTCTTTTTACACGCATTATAAATATATCTTAACCTGTATGTATGTGTATGTACGTATTTAATATTTATGTATCAATGTAGTAGAAAATTGTAATTCAGTTTTTAGCTATTTCTAGGTATTTATTCTCGCTAGGATCATCGCAGCTCATCACCAATGCGTGTTTAATATTTTTTAATTCTAATATTTTAATTTTTTTCTTCTTTTAATTCTATTAATTAGTGACTCCTGCTATATTTCAAAGTGAATATTCCATACATATCTTTCATATTAATATTTACTGAATAAATCATATTTAAATTTAGAAATCTTAAAGTAAGAATCCTACTGCCATTTTATCTTCAAATATATTTCAAAGGGAATTATAAAATACAATAGGTATATACTCGTATAAAAGAGTTTCTATTCTTGTGCATCCATCTTTATTAAACCATACTTTAAATTGCAAGTAACATATAAGTTAAAAAATAAATATAGCTTGAATATAACTAACTACTTTTACGGATCATAGGATTATAAGAAATCATTAAATAAATATAGCTTTTGCAAAACATTATGTAGATAATGATTCCGTTAAAATTTTCAAAATTTAATGCTTCAGTATTGCAAACCACAGATGACAACATGTTTCTACAGAGTACTGAGAAGATAGTAAATGGTATTAATGAAACAGCTGTCATCTTTGGCGCAATTTCTGTCAAGCCACACCTAACTTACTTGTTGAGGAGGACAACACGGTTGGTTATTGACGATCTCGCACACGTGAAGACGTGTGTAAGTCTGTCCGAGCAGCGTGAAATACGTAAACACCTGGGTGAGGTTCACAGTAAATGTCAACAAGTTCCAATACTACTATGTAACTACTATGCTACACATACTTCTACATTGTACTAACTAACAAATAGAATCGACTAACTTACAACAATTATATACATACAATGAGAGAGTGACATAATATAATGATAAAATAAACCAACTAAACATATAGACATTTATTATGTTACGATTTGGGTCCAAACTACTTATATTTCGCTATAGCTTTCATAATTATATTCAAAGACAAATAATAAAATTTGCTCAAATATAAATGATGAATAATGTGAAAATGGAAGCTCAGCTACACTTCATTGAGCCTTTTATTTCGAAAGGCCTTATCCGGTTATAAGTACTTCAATAAGCAATTATCTAAATTAAAATAAATACTTTAAAATATCCGTCTGCATGCAAACTCAATTGATAATAAATACAAAATTATGGTAAGTCATTATGGAAAGTAAATTGAAGAAATTTCATCAATGACACCAATAAAATCACCCTACGACTATTGAAATATTAGCAATTTAGACAGTCCTTATAAAATAATTATTTAAATTTTAAAGGATTTATAGCCAAATTAAAATTCTGCAATGGACAAAATTATAAAGACCAACATAACATCTATATAATTATGTTATACAAAAATAATAAATAGATGAACAAATAACAGATGAATATTTTATTTTACCAACAACTAAAGACAAGACAACAAAAACTACAACATCTGTGTATGTTACAGACCTTCAAATATTTCCAGTGCTGCTCCGTGTCCAAATGATAAGCGATGGAAAAATAAAACAAATGAGAATATGTAAATTGATACAAAACATGACAATGTACGTTGTACATACAGTAGGTATATGAAAATATTAAACCTTAAACGTAATACACAAGCTGCCACAGATTCTGTATGTTTCCTTTAGCAAGCGTCGTCAAATCAAAATTAAAAATAAGGTCAGAAAAATGTGATAAAATGTCAATGGAAAAAAAAATGATTAATATCTATGCAATAGGTTTCTATTTAGTTCACCTATTTTACCACAGTAATTTACCATATATTTTTCTTAACTGTTAAAAAAGTCAGCCGGAAATTAAGGATAGCCAAACTATTTTAACCCATTTCAAAAAAATTTGTCGGAATCTTTTTTTTATGTATTACTGTATACGGATTACACGAAGACACCTGAACCGATTTGGAAAAATATAAATTTGATCAAGGCCTCACCAGTTTTTGAGCTATCCTTAATAATTTATATTGAAGTCAGTTGTACTATTTTTTAATTTTACTAATTGTTTATATATGTGTGTTACCTCATAACTTTTTTTCTAGGTGAACCGATTTTGATGATTCTTTTTGTATTTGAAACCTGGTGCTTCTCATGTGGTCCCATATATTTGATCAAGGTCTGATCAATAGTTTTTGAATTATACTTAATAAATTATATTGAAGTCGGTTGTACAAAATGTTTAATTATACCTCATGTCTTCTAAAAGTTTCAACATGCCTACTTCTCCAATATTTCTTATAGAATAAGGGTGACAAACAAGCACACTGTCACCTGATGATAAGTGGATGCAGTACTCCTGAGGCTAATAAAGAATGCCTCGTTGTCCCCGGTTCTCTACAATGACCATGCGGAACACAGCAGTGTAACTGGCCTTACCCACTGCTTCTAATATTTAATAGGTTAAACCTAAAAATATATATTTCTATGTTTCATATGTACAATATGACAACAAAATAACGTAGGTACGTAGCCATCTTTTGAAGTCTGGTTTTGCGGTTTAATTATTTAACATCTATCTTCCACTGAATGTTTCTCTAATTTTTACTTAGGATTACAACACAAATGGATGTAAATTCTGTTTGCTAGACTGAGTCATTATACATGATTAATATTAACCATTAGGACGGATTCGGTCTTCAGCTGCATAACATTTGGTAGATGATTAATGACAATTCTTGAAATAAACTCGCAATGGTCATTAAAGGAAACTGCTTACTGTAAAGGAATTTAAACGATGTTTACGACAGAAATTGATTAACCAATCTCTGTTTTAAATGACTCATTCATAATGGACCTAATACTATGTCATCAAAGAATGCATCTCATTGGACAATGTAGAAAGAGTTAAACCAAAACCAAAATTTTTTTGTGTAAAAAATAAGTCAATATTTTCATAATCATTACAGGATGTGGGCAATGATATTGACCAATGCCACGTGGGTGAACTATCACATAAAAAGCTCTGGGTAACGGCGCTAATTAAGGCCTTTGCCCATATTGCACGTGGATGTCGATCGTATATTTTAAATTTTAAAGCCGTGTCATAAAATGAAACATTACGTCAGATATCAGTAATGTGATTTGAAACTTTGATTTTATTGGGTGCCATTTTTAAATTTTAAAATGAAACGGAAGAATATATGCTGGATTGACTAGGAGAGAATACCAAACGCCTACCCTTTACTTCTGATTCCTATATTCAGTTACGTGATTGCATACAATCGGTTTTATTATGTAGGAAGTGCATTTGAAAGTTGTATTTTGTGAAATATGTATATTATTAAATGAGATGTTATGAGATGTTATGACAGTTTTTTTTTAATGAACCGACTTAAATAAAATAACTAGAAGGACGAAACCTTAATATTTTATAGATAGATAATAATCGGTTTAAATAATACTAGAATCTTTTATAAGCATATTAGATTACCCAAGTAAATGAATCATAAAAATCGGTCATATCTATAGATTGTGAAAAAATCGCACACACATGAGAAACAGAGATCCTACCTTTTTAAGTAAGTAAATGAAACAGCAGTGTTTTTGACGACTATGTTGTTTTAATAGTAAATAGACAAATGTGGTGATGGTAGCAGGAAAAACCGGCCAAGTGCGAGTTGGACTCGCGCTCCGAGGGTTCTGAACTAATCCGTAGGTATATAAATTTAAGATTATTAAAAATATTTTTATTATATGATGTAACTAAAAATTTATGGTTTTCGCAATTTTTCCTTTATCTGTGCTATAATACGTTGCTTCGTACCAGATTTTAAGATTCTGAGTTCACGGGAAGTACCCTGTAGGTTTTGATTCCCTTGCGAATGTCGAAAATTTGCGGCATAAACGGCTGTATCTTTTGATTGCGTTGGCTTAGAAGTTTGATTTTTTGCGGACAGTAGACTTGAGTATTTCATATGAATTTCAGCTTGATACCTCCACGCGTTCCTGAGAAAAAGGGTCTTGACAGACAGACAGACAGACGAACAACAAAGTAATCCTATAAGGGTTCCGTTTTTTCCTTTTGAGGTACGGAACCCTAAAAATCAACAGGTATTTAAAAATAACCATTATGTATAAACCTAAATAACTGTTCATGTTCCTCGATTGAGCAATCTTTATCTTCTTATCACCGTGCCCTATCTAAGAGGCTCACGTCTGAGGGTTTGAAACTAAAAGTTCATTAAATATCTTAGCTTCCACAGATGCAGGTTTCCACAGTATAGACTGGGCCAGGCCCATGTAGCTGTGTGTGTTTAATTTTAGTTTCTCCATCAGTGAATTTCTTTTACTTATATTTAACACAGTCTATTCAACAATTGGAAATTTTAAACAATTCAATACAATTAATAACTTCTGCAATATTTATGCTTAGTCAAGACATCGCCAAAAACAAAAAAAAATAATAAGTTAACTAATAACTATATTGTGTAAGATTGCAAATGTATCCGAACGTTTCTTTTTCTGCCGACTTCAAAAAGGAGCCGGTACTCAATTCGACTGTATGTTTTTTTTATGTGTGTTACCTCATAACTTTGTACTGGTTGGACCGATTTCGATGATTCTATTTTTTATTTGAAAGCTGGTAATTCACACGTGGTCCCATATGAATTTGATCAAGGTCCGAACAATAGTTTTTGAATTATTCTTAATAATTTATATTGAAGTCAGCTGTACAAAATTTTAAATTTTTAATTATTGTAGTCTGTGATTACAATTATCTTTCATCTGTGGTGCGGTGTGGTGCATTTGGCAAAAGCGTGTAGTGAGAGTTTCACGGCAATAGTAACAGGGGCAGGAGTAGTAGCAGGTAGGCAGTAGGCCACACGGAACAGTTTGAAGATTCCGTTCCGGTCCTATCGAAACTTGTTGTGAGATAACACATATTCTGGAATAGGCTACTCTAAACTTTACCTATACATATATAGCCTACTCTTACTATAATTTTAATATCAAACTGAGCCGGCATCAGTGATTGAATGTGGTGACTCAGCCGCCGGGTCAAACGTAACGAAAACACGGCGTGCCTTCCCTCTGCGTCAGCACGAGCCTTCGCAGTACATCCTTTGTTATAGGAACATAATACCATAACATAAGATTGTACTGCGGCATTGTTTACGTAGGTGCGCTAAGCTGGTAGTCCAAGTTACCTGTTTTACTTGATTTGTTAGTTACTGACTTTTTGGTAGCGGTTATCATTATAAGGCACTTATTGAGATTAATATATAGTACATTGTATCTAGACTTAATGTTTTTAAATAAATTCAGCCACTTCCAGCCTGCTCCACAGATTAACTAATTGGTAAAGCCACTGTGATAAAAAATAACAGTTGGGCCCACCGACCATTGCATGTTATTAAATATTGTTGAATGTATACCTGTCTCAAAAAATTTCTTCCACCATAAATATTTTAATTGTGCATAACGTCTAATGTAACAAGCTTCAGGTCTGGGGCCATGTTGTTGTAATTTTTACGAACGGTTACAGTATGTATATAAGTAGGTTATGATTAATAAAGGATTATTTCATAGATGTAGTCCAATTTTGACTAATAATATTTTAATTTATCCTTAGTTATCACCGAAGAAAGTGATGTTAATAATCGATTATTTTTGTAATTTATTTATCCAAAATATGTAAAAGTTCAACGATGAACCAAAAGACTGTTAATTGCAAACACATATATATAAACTAATTAACAATTTTTTTGGTCTAGCTTCGAATTGACTTAGTAAGGATTTGGATAAAATAATGACGGGCACTGTGTAGTAAATATACCCTAATTGCATCAGTTACAAAAACGCACAGAAAAGTCCTGTATCCAGTAGAGCCGGTGTAGCTTAGCGCTAAGCTGTTACCGTAAATTTCACATGTTCGAGTTTCACCGATATCAATAAAATTGTTAATTTCATTTTTAAGTATTGATTTACCACGAAGAAAGGTAACATCATGACGAAATTTGTACGTCAGGAAAGTGCAGAAGTATAATATTTCTAGAGCCCATTAAATTCGTCAATATGCATTTAAGCAACGCGTCAGACTAATTTTTCTACGTATATAGATTTCCCTCCTCTTATTTGTGCTGTAACTTTGTATCCAAAATGTATTTAAAGAGGCTGGTAAAGTTTTGTACGTGGTAGAGCCATGCTACTGTTATTTACTCGTAGTATACGACCGGGAAAGGACCACACTCTCACAGAATACCAGCGACGAATATAAGTTTAATGCTGTTGTTTCGTGAGGTGAGTGTAAAGAACCGGAGAGCCTTTTTACCGGAAACAAGGCATTCCATCTTAGTTCTCAGGGGTGACAACACATCTGCGTTTTGGTTCTTAGTCGAGGATAAATGTAGATGTCTATGGGCAACAGTATCCACTTAGTACCATCGGGTGGGTAGTGTACTCGTTTAGTCATCCTTATTGTAAAAAAAGAAACTAAGAATCGACTTAAGCATATGCCAATATTGCTCATAT